TTGCAAAATAAAGGTGTGTTTTTGCAGTTTGTTTGTCTATTATTTTTTCTACTCTCTAAGGTTTAATTATTATTTAAGTAATATTTTTTCTAGGAAAAAATATAGGCCCGCTCACTTTTTCAATGGCCCGCCCAAAATACAATTTCTGCCTACGCCACTGAGGCAAGCTACTAGAAAATGTAGTTAAACTAATAACTACATGTAGCGGCGCTACCGTCCATCACTGTCAATGTGTCTGTTGACCCTGTGATGGGTTGGTGTCCTCAGCGGTTCTTCTGATTGGTTGTCTACGTGGTGGCCCTGTGGTGTTTGGCCCCAGTCACTGCTGGCTGCAGCTGTATTTATGATTTAGTTTCTCATAATAGTATTGCAAAATGATGACTTAATATCTAATTACTTTGACTTAGTATCCCAATGTTATGACTTAGTATCTCATAGGTTTGCCAAAATATTTTATTGTGATAATTTTGTTCAGTATATCAGTAATTATCACAATTTAATTCGTCATTATTTCTTTATGTCGATGCTCCATTTTTACTTAAAATTCCCTTAGAATTGCCCTAAATCAAATTCAGAACATAAAAAATGGTGACAACTTGAATGTGCTGCAAAATGAAATCTAAACTGAATAACTAAATCTTTTAGTTAAATTAGTCAAATTTTTGTCGTAAATACAATTTTTTTTGTTGTAAATTTTTTTGTTGCTAGGTTTTTTATTTGACTGCTTTTCTGTCCCTCTCTTCCCTCTGGCTACAGGTGACGGTATTAACTACATAGCAGGCCACTCTTCAGAACACACCTTTCTTTCGATGACCAAGAGGGTTAGTTGACTGCAGCCTTTGGTATTTCATATCTCACACATGCAACCTTAACTGGAGGCTCTTTGTGAGTATGAGTACAGTGTGTCTGTAGAGCTTTTACTTGTGAAATGTACTTTGATATAAACAATTTGTGTAAAAAAAAGAAGCAACTATTTTAAAATGTGGTGTAATCAAAATCACAATTGTTTCTTCTCTTTCCATACAGGTATCTGATTTTTGAAAGATTTTTGCAAAGAGGGTCTCCTTGGACTCCCCCAGCCCCCGTATGACACAATATGGAAGCATGGATGTAATGGATGTTGCTATGAGAGCTCTCCAGATGCTCCTTGATGCTCTCCAGTTTATTTTAATAATTGTATAAATTTATGTACACTGTAAATCCATCCATCTTCTGAAACCACTTAATCCCAACTGGGGTCACCAGAGTCTATCCTGGGAACAATGGGTGCAGGCAGAAATCAAACCTGGGCAGTTGGACTGAACCCAGAACCATCTTGCTGTGAGGCAGCAGCACTAACCACTACACCATCTCTCCCATAAAGGTCCTGCTAGGCTGAGTCCCACGGGTTCGGGTACCCGACGGGTGACCCACAAATTTTGATGAAACGGGTAAAAAATATTCTACTGTACCGGATACGGGTTTGGGTTGACGCAGGAGAGCTAAATTGTGGTTTTCAAAACATCATGTGCCAACAAAAAATACCCTAGGGCTATATTTTAATTAGTGACAAAATCCCTGCATTCAAGATGATAAAACGTAAAATCCATATCAGTTTATGCCTGCACGCACATTCCCGGAAATCTCTCCCACTTTCATTTTCAAAAAACGCGCGCGATCTCCTACAGCTGTTCGAAATGAATGCTGAAGTAGTCAGCTGAGGCTATCAACTGTGGACGATATCCTTTTTTTACACGCTAGTCTTCGCCTTCGCGTAGGAATTCCAATCGGGTAATCAAAGGAAAACGGACGTTGCACGTAGGTAGCCTATAAAACCCAATACTATGCAGGGTAGCCTAATGTACATTTGATATAATATTAGCTTTATTAACACATTTAATTTTAAGCTGGTAAGGCTATGTGTGGGCATGGCAATATCAAACATTATTTGAGTTTGGAGGTAGGCTACTACCATTTGTTTTGCTTATTAGGCTGTTATTAAGCAACATTTACATTTGGCTATGCCTTTTCAACTGATGTTGCACATGTCACTGGTCATTTGTTGTGGCAATACACTTTTGTCTTTAATTTTTAATCTGACTGATTTTCATTCGGGTGCGGGTCGGGTGTCGGCATTTATTTATAGCGAATCGGGTGCAGAATTTTATTTTATTTCTTTCGGATAACGGTTCGGATACGGATTTAAGTATGACGGGTACGGGCAGGTGCGGTTTGTCAAAATCAGACCCGTGCAGGACTCTGCTGCTGGGTGCAGCAATAATCATATAAACAATTTTCATATAAATCATTTAAATAATAACAATGAGACGACCCCAAAACAGGAATGGTTCAACAGGTGGAGGCCACTGACATATTTCCCTCCTCATCTTTTCTGACTGTTTTTTGACTAGTTTTGCATTTGGCTACAGTCAGTGTCACTATTGGTACACTGTAAAAAAAAAATGTTCAGCCAACTCAAAAATTCAAGACAACATGCTGCGATAACATTTTTGAGTTAAGCTAGCC